AAAAAAAAAAAAAAAACCGCCCCTTTTTTTGCGAAAATGGCCTCAGGGTTTTTTTTTTTGGTAAAAAAAGGGCATTAGGAAGCTTATAGAGTGCTTCTGGGGGCTGGAGGGGGAAAGTTGAGCAAAAAATGGCCCATTTTTTTGCTCATTTCTGCCCTCCCCAGCCCCCAGGAGCTCTCTGAAAGCTTTCTAGAGGCTCTGCAGGGCCAATTTGGTAAAGGGGTGGGGTTTCAGGAGGCAAAAAAATGCTATATTTAGAGTATAAGATGCACCCAGATTTTTAGCGTTTTTTTGAGGGAAAAAGGTGCATCTTATACTCTGAAAAATACGGTATTTCCTTTTGATACAACAGTGTAATCTAATATAACATAGTATTATATTTATTTATAAGCATATAATTAAAAACTGCAAATAATCTAGAAGACTAACATGTGATTTACACTGTAACTAAGCAACAAGACATACCACATACAAAAACACCCTTAAATAAGGGTGTTCATAGGAATGTCATCACTAAATAAGAGGTCAAAATGCAGGAAAAGTCCATTATTTGATCAGTAAATTACCATTGATACACTAAACCTAACTACTGTGTGAGAACAGTAAAGATGAGACACAGATGGCTCACTATCATTCACTTCCAAAGAGCAAACAACTGCTCCTAATTTTCCTAAGTATGAAAACAGAATAACAGAAAGAACAAAATGGAAAGTCTTTATCTTGCAACTGGTATTCTGGCTGGACCTTTTGTCCCACCTTTTTCCGTATCAGGCTTAGGATAATATTTATTTAGTTTCCAATTTGATTTATATGCTCACTTCCTCAATTCCAAATACAGGAAGTTGGGCAACAAATAGTTTTGGATTACCATGCTTTCTGCTCTGCTGCAAGGGTGTGCAGTAATGGTAGCCTACTTTCTCTTTATTTCTAGAAGTCCTATGTAAGAAAAAAGGACTTTCATTTGATTATTTTTTCATCATACTAAGATCTAGAGGACAGAAAGCACTCAGATACAAATGACAACAGCACCCTTCTGAAAGGCATTTTCTCAGTTTGGTCCCATTCACTGAAGGAGTCTATGGATTAGAATGCCATCTTGCCCTTAGTTGACAGAGACTGGAGCAATAAATCTATTATGGTAAAGATGAAAGTTACACTACCCTTATTCTTTTTAAAGTAAGTTTTTATTTTATTTTCTTATGTACAAAAATTCCCATTTCAATTCAATAGTGTGCTGTCTCAGTACATCCATTCTGAGATAATCATCATAATTTTCAAAACAATATTCCTTACACTGATATCAATTCTATTAATCTTAATAATAATAACCTTTTTTCACAGTTAAAGTCTAATTAAAAAAATGAATTGGTATTTTAATATAAGGAAAAAAAAATTACCTCCAAGTTTCACCATCGTGCCACACCAAGCAGTCATACACAGGGCCAGGATCATTATATTTTTTCTCAAAAGAGTTTAGCAGTTCCACCCGACTCTGAAGCTCTTCCTTCATTAATTTGTTTTCCTGGAAAATAAAGTGTCTCCTGAAAAAGTATGCTAAAATCGACACTCCCTCTACACAGAGAAAAGAAAATGATACGCTCCTCTCTCATTGCAATAAAAAATATAGCATAGTGTTTATACTGCACCCAGTAACAGTTCAACCATTATGTTAGGCCTGCAGCCATATTCCCTTTTGGATCTTCGGCCTGCCACACTTTCTATTATTTTACTATGCGTTTCTATTATGGGAAAATGGGAGCGGGGATGGTATGAAGTTAAATGCTATGTAGCCAAAATAAAATTCCTTTCTAGAACCCAAGGTCATCCTTTGTCTTTACACCTCTGCACCTGACTGTAACTGGATGGGTGAAACTGCCAGGATGGCAGCATGGACCATGTGATGGACTTGTGGGTGTGGGGGCAAGATCCTGAACTTTCAACTGGGTGGGTAAAACCAGGAAGCTTTCAGATTCAGGTTTTCCCAGATGTGCCAACATGGCTCTTTTAATAAATTGGAACTTTGAGTAATACTTTGCCTTGGACTCTGATTTAATTTTGGATGCTATCTGGAACCCTGACACATTCCTTATCTGTATCAATTGGAATATTCATTTGACTCTCCATCACTGATGCCTAAAACTATCCGCCCTTTGAATTTGAGCCTAATTACAGCCT